AGAGAGAGAGAGAGAGAGAGAGAACGAGTCAAAGTGCGAAAGAAACAGAGAGAACAAAGAGTGAGACAAATGTACAAAAGGAGAAACAAAAACAAAGAGGGAAAGAGAAAGAGGGAGAAGGCGGTAGAAGTGGCGGAAACTCGGAGCGGTGGAGTGCGGATGGGGACAAGGATGAACCACCTTAAAGGGGATAGCATGAATCATAAGTAATCAATATTATACCTGCGACCGATATAGAAAAATTTTGGGCGACATACAAGTGGCGAAATACTTTACATTTTTATTTCGGAATTTTAGTTCATTTCCGAGATATCCTAGCTACGTATATTTTTTGTAACAAAAGAAATCCGGAATGCTATCCAAAATGTTGCATTTCGATCTATTTGGACTCCTAGCATGTTTTTCTGACATAAATTCGTACGATATCCTTCCATCGTATCGCTTTCGTAATTACTTGTAATTTATTGTTGAGCGTACAAGCTAAACAAATATAAAAATAAAAGCAAATCAGTGGTTACGAAAATGTATTACTTATAGTCATGTTTAAAAGTAATTTTTCCGTTACTTATTTTCCTTGAATAAATTATTATTAATAAATATATCGTACTTGGAATTTTTCGAATCTTAATTAAGAATTCCCTTCGCCTAATTGCTCTATTTTTATAATAGAGTATATCTATACTAAAGCAACAACATGATACGTAGTGTGCAAGGTATAATTAAAGGGGGCTATATTTACATTATACAATTTTATATACGATCTTTGTTAATCTTGAATTGTAGTCTCGAATGATTACAATACAAATCACATCGATCATATTACATTTCGATATTTATTTTTAAATAGACAAATCTATTTTTTCGTTAAATCGTAATGGCTGACTCGAGTCCAAAAGACCGAACCTTTTGCATAATGCATTCATAGCAGCTACATCTTTTGCTTCGTTAATAGTTTGCCCAGATCCTAGAAACATTATTAGTAAACACAATGGTAACCGAGTTAACAATTGGAAAGTTTCAACTACCTTTTTAAAATAAATTTTTACCTGAACCTAAGAATTGTTTATTTGCATAAACCGCGATTTGATAAACTGCCAGTACGGTATTTGTTCCAGCATGTCTAATGATTCTTGGCTCTACAGGTGCTTTTATTTCGTTAGAGACGATATCGTTTAACATCTTAAATGGTTCTTTGGGGCACCATATTTCGGTCAAGTCTTTGTTTGCTAATCCTACTAATAGAAAATCTCGAACAAAAGTACTCGCACGATCGATATCGGCGCTTTCGGCAAGTGCTGCTACGAGTGCTAGAAATGTTTTAGCCAATGTTTCTTCTGCCACGGGATGCTCCTACGTAGTAAATACAAAAATTATAAATGTTATTATTATATTAACAATATAAAAATGTTGTGTATACAAACAGCTGTCAGAATAAGGTCCTTTGTTCCAATATGCAAAGATGCTGTAGCCAGAATTTCATTGGACATAAGGTAATCATGGAATGCTCTGAAATATAATTTCCATTAGATGGACTTGAAATACAGTTATTTCTTATATCAAGTTCAAACTCCCTATTTTTACACGTACATAATAGCAGATTCAGGAGCATGTGGGAGAGATTTACTCAAATACTTGAACGCAACTTCTGAAGTTATGTTTCTTCCTTTTTCAATTAAATCTTCGTTATGTTCTATATCGAGTTTAGGTTCTTCTATTCCAATTTCTTTTTGTTTTTTTTCTTCCTCGAAAATGTAAGACTTATGGATGAATGCTTTGTTTAATTTCTCTGTTTCAAATTTTTCTGACAGTCTCTGATTAAATGCATATATTTCCGAATCTCTATTCCACTCTATAAAATTACTTCGAATCGGTTCTGGTTGAGGAGGTAACCGTCTTTTTCTTCTGGTTAGGTCTTTGTAAGTTGCAGATACCCATCGATGAATGTACCTACAATCTACACTTGTAATTAATACATTATGCGATATTAAATAATACAAGTTTCAATTAACATATTTACCATTATAATATCCAGGTATTATTCTCACAAGATTATTGCAGCATAAACGTAACTTATTCATGTTTATTCCGTATATATATATAAAAAAAATGCAACTGTTTTATAAAATAATGATTCACTCTATGTTACGGATATCTGATGTATTGCGCCAATGTCGTTAGGATAATATAATGTTCACAATAATTAACAATTAACGACATTAAACAATTCGCATTTGTGCAAAATCAAAACAACATGATCACACGTGATAGGTTATTTACTAAAAATATAATTATTACCAACCGAATGTATCAACATACCCAGAGTGGTTATATCAAGTTTTTTTAACGCGTTTATATTGGTGCACCTCGTTCTTGGCGCCATTACAATTTCAGCCATTTTGCCTCTGATTTTGTTCCTGCTCCGATTCCGAGTTGAGTTTACTATAAATATGTAATTTACGTATTCCGGAGTTGCGTCTTATAATTAAATAGTTAGGTGGGGACTGTAATAAACGTAAACTTAAGTTATTGGAAAAGGTACAGAATAAAAAAAAGCGTCAAAATGGAGGAGAAACTTCGTCAAATGGAAGATGAAATGAACAGGTATCGTGTACTTATAAAACGTTGAAGTATTCTAACCTTTATGGACTTTTTATTTTGTTCCCTTACGATTTATGTATTTATTTCTTTTAATATACACCCGATTGCAACATTTACGTTTTCGAGATTGTCACATCGTTCGTAGTTTACACGGTAAATTATATTAAATGGCTCGTCTAATAAAAAGCAAATAAAGTAATACAAGTATAAAGGCAGGTAAACAAATCGTTAAAAGTTTGTTTGCAATTTGTAACTTATTATAATTAATTGTACGTAATTTTTTTAGATTCGAAGCTGAAATTGGTAGTCAGTTAGTCGCACCAATGGTAAGACCTGTAATCGGTGCAAATACGTACAATCAAGTAGCTAGACAATTGGAGCAGCATGAACTTCCAACTCCTGTTGTTGCTGCTGCTGCAGCTACCTTAGCTTTTCCATCGATGATTGGATTTCCACCTCCGCCGCCGCCGCCGCCACCACCACCTCCTCCACCACCGCCGCCAATGTTGATTCCACAACAAGTAGCAAGACAAGGTAAATGGTTTTAAAATAAGAATATATGAAAATTATACTTAATTGCTCTATATTTAAAACAAAGAAATGTTGTTTATTACAGGTACGGTTCCTTCTATTACAACATATTCGTCCCCTGCACAGATAAGTAATCCGTATTTACCAAACATGGTGGACTCGTGTTTAACTGCTACTCCAAAAACATATGAATCCACGTCGACACCAATGATACATCCAGAAATTATTGAACAGATTATCAATACAAAGATCCCTGAAGATGACAGCAAAAAGAAGCCAAAGGTGAAAGGTGTTAGTACAGCAGCAGAATTGGCGATTAGTCAAGGAAAGGCCAGTTCTATAATGGCGAACGCCAGCGCGGAAGAAACTCATCCTAAGGGAAAAGGAAAGAAAAATAAAAAAATCGTACGAATGGCGGGTGGACAGATATGGGAAGATCCTTCTCTGTTGGAGTGGGAAGAAGGTTATTAACGTTTTACTGTTTATATTATTTACGAGTCTTGTTTCGCTTTAAACATATTTTACGATTCTTTTTCGTGCGCAGATGACTTTCGAATATTCTGTGGAGACCTAGGAAACGATGTCACAGACGAGATGTTAGTGAGAGTTTTTGGCAAATATCCAAGTTTTCAAAGAGCCAAAGTAGTTAGAGATAAAAGAACAAACAAGACGAAGGGATTTGGATTCGTGTCCTTCAAGGATCCGCAAGATTTCATTAAAGCAATGAAGGAAATGAATGGTGAGTTGAACAATAATCGGCTATTACGATGACCTAGGATACGGTAAACTGGGATGTTTTATTCTACGTTCGAATACAAAGGGAAATAATTCCTAATTAACGATATTAAGTAAATATTATGCAGACTAGAAAAAGAAATGAAATAATATTTACAAAGTCGTATACAAATATAAACGGTAAATAGTTTCAAGGAATCATTGCCACAGTATTTTGGATACTTTTGCCGAAAAAATTATTCATAAATCTAGGTTTTATCAGAATATGCGACTTATGTAAAATTATCTAGAACTCAAAATTTCTGTTGATATAGTTTATGTACCAAAATTACGAGATCAATATTTCGAGTAATTAGTTTTCTTCAATTACCAAATGGACCCAGTCCATACGATATAAACAACTGCGGTATTATAGAATAATGTCTTCTTGGATGCGGTGGAGCTCCGTTGCGTAACGCGATCCGATAATTAGGATTACTTACAGATTGTACCGAAGTTTCAGCTGTTTTTTCCACCTGCTGCTGCTGCTGGTGCGGTGTGCCACCTTGAATTATAATAATGTACAGTTATGTTTATGGAGATAGTATACATGAAGATACTTGTTCGATGTTTTCTTACTGGCATAGTTATTCCGAAGGCTGTGTTGATTCATATATAAAACGGAAAAGGGCATTCCAGCAGCTCCTCTGCTACGAGCTAAATCCTTCTTCGACATTTCGTTTCCACTTTTTTTCGTAACTGTTGACAATTGAACTCTCTTATCCGCTGTTGGAACATTACCGCTCCACGACTCTATTATTGTATTTGGGTCCATATTCGATGCTTCTCTTCGAATTTGTATTCTAAAAACCACCAAGATGTAAGACGAAGCTCTGTCACATATCACACTGGAAAAACCAGGTAAATGGGTACCTAGGTAATGGTATTTCTTCTGGTACGATAGCAATGTTTTCTGGAACTTGTTGTACAGGTATCCATTCCCAGCAGTCTTCGTTGTGTGAACACGCAGTTGTGATTACAGCATCTAACTCATTCTGTTTCAGTGCATTCTTCAGATCGGTTAAAGGTACACCTTGACACGACACGAAGGTAAAGATCAAAATTACAACGCTGTGTAACATTTTCCTACGTTAATGTCTCGTTTAAATAGTTTCTCGTTCGATATCGGTTTCGTGTTCGCTCTACGTTTCTACTCGCGTGAAACGATTCGTAGTTTGAATACAGTGGCGTGTTGTTCCTTGTCTCTGCTTCGATTCTGAAAAGCATAAAATTCAAGTTGCGATACTTTTGGAAGAACGAGCGCAACCACGCTTTTAAAACGAGGAGCCCTGTTGCGAGTCTGAATGTTAAGGAAGCATTTAAAAAAAAAAAAAATGAAAAAAGAACGTCGGTGAATCGAAATTCCGTTCCGATGACACGACGATGATTATTAGGCAGCTTGATGACGGACAAACACGTTGTTTACGTTTTCGAGAAATCTCTGCAATGGGTACGACTATTTATACAACATTCTGCGCTAAAATTAGTACGACGATACTCCTACACTTGCCGATTTTAGTGACCACGGAATCAGGCTGTACTGGAAATAGATATTGTCGTTCTTTGACAACGAAAGTAGCGAGCAAACGAATCGATTACGGGTTGCTGAACCGTTTTTCTCTGGAAGTAACGTTCCTTCCTTTCAGCTTTCATATACAGTCGGTGTAAGTATTCGTACAAGAACCATTTCTTTTAAATTGGTTGCTGTACGAATACTTGTTACATTAACTGTAAAAGGTTTTCCAATAAGAATTTTGGATTTATATTTTCTTAATTATTTTAAATAAAACACAGACCCTTTCGGAAAACCGTTTACATTATGGATATGCGTATAAGATATACATATATACAGTGGGTGTAGAATGTATTCGTACACCACTCAATTTCCCAAAAAAACTTTTGTGTGAAATTGTAGTTTCTCAACTTCCTTTTTCATAATCAATGATATTTTACATATTCTCGAAAGTCTTTAAGATAGATGCAGTCCAAACAACATTTACTGGTTAATATAATTTGTGAAATTAACAAAAAGAATGGGAAAAGTGGGTAAAAGTATAGAAGCAATATGTATTTGTACGATTCTTATGGTGAACCATTTACAGCAGAGTTTTGTAACGTAAACACATTAGTTTATTGCTCCGTACGTATTAGAAAACGTCAAATTTCCAGTAAAGTACTTTTAAACAGTTGTGCGAATACTTATTGCTTCAACATTTCTATCGATTAATTGTTTCTTTTTCTTGTTAATTTCACAAATTATATTGACTAGTAAATGTTTTTTGGACTATATCTATCTTAGAAACACCCGAGAATATGTAGAATGTTATTGTTTATAAAAAATAAGTTGATAAATTACAATTCCACACAGTTTTTCTGGAAGTTGATCGGTGTACGAATACTTTCTACACCCACTGTATGTATATCCATATGTATACGTGTATTCAAATTATTGCAGAATACCGAGGTTCCCGTGGTTGATTTACATGTCTGCTCTGGAATTATTGCACAGTCTGCAAACCCACGACGTTCCTAATTAAAATGACATATTCCACGCTAGCAGGGAACAAAAACCATTCCCTCATTTCAAGTTTTTGTCACGTGTGGGATGTATTCTGTTCTTTTATCTCCATTGTTAACTACCGTTCGTGCACGTTAGTTACACATTGTACGTAGTAGTTGCATTTAAATCCAATGCTACATGGCTAAATTGATTCAAGAGACAGTCATCGTACAAAATACAAGAATCATTAGGGTAAATGAAAGATTACACGACTTTAAATTCTTGCAATTAACAGGAACACTTTCAGGGTTTCTAAGAAAAGTTGTACTTTTTAATTGTCAAACTCGTTGAATGAAATCTATTGAAACAAGTCCATAATTATCGAGGAAAATAATGTTCATCTCGTTATCGCATTGTTAATGAGTTCCAGGTGAATGCCAAGTTTGCGTTAATTCCACAGGGAAATTGATTATTGCTGGTGCTACACGGAACTTTCAATTTTCTCATTTCCGTTTGTCGATAGAAGCAACTACCCTGAAACGTCATTCTCAGCTGTACCCTTGGAGATGTTCGTTACATGTTTAATTGTTATTAAATTAATTTTTTGTATGAATTATTTTCAATAGAAGATTTCCATTGAAGCCTTTCCGGTCCCTTTGGAAGTTCAGCTGAATGGAACAGGTTTTGTCTTTAAGTTCATTAGAACATTGGAAAAATCTTTCAAATGTGATTTTAATACACCAAATGTAAGTATGTCTTCCATATGTAAAAAAAAAAAAACAATTGCAAGTCTTTGACAAAGTCAGTTTAATCACAGTCACTTCCCTAAGTGTATTCGTACACCCAAAAGTCTGTCAAAAATCATTTCAATGACTCGTGTATTTGAATTTCCAGTTACCCTAAGAGAATGTTAATCAACGAGAGAAAACGGAAGAGAAAAGACTCACCGTTGAAACACACGTGCCTGTTCGTTTGGTCGCCGCTGGTCGAGACTCCGTCGTTTATCGGCGCACGTCTACGTAGCACACGGACGTCCGTTCCCCGTCAGGGTGGCTGCGACGGAGTGCGTCGCGACGTCCTCCGTCCCGATACTCATTCAACAACCCCTACCACAGCCGTTCGTTCCCGTAACATCCCCACCTGACGACGAAGAGCCAACCGCGTGCCTTGATTTCCACTATCGGACGATCCTCCGTCGTTTTCATAACGGTGGTTCATTTATTTATCGCTGATAATATTCTCTGGCGTTCATGGTGGTCATTACGGTTCCGGTAGTCATCTTCTTTAACGTCCATCGTGGTCATTGTGCTCATTGTGGTCTCTGTATTCCTCCGTCGATCGCTTCTTCTAAACGAATCAGAGCCACACGAATTTCTGTGCGAGTCACGTTGACCACGCGGTGGGTGTGAAATACCGCGCATATTTCCGTCGACTTATTTATCGCACACCGAGGGGACACGTTCGATTACAAAATAAACATGTGGGTCGAGAAAGTATTTGCACGCTCGGTTTACTTCAGGATTCCTCTAAAGAAGCATCGCGTTAATACTGTATAATTCTTGTATCGCTTTTTCATACGCAAAATGTTCTGTAGTAATCATAAAGTAACTTTGTTTACACGTGTAATACTTTCCCGGGCCACTGTCAACATATTGCCCCTCTCAATGTGCTTGTACATCTCGCAAACTAGGCTGCGAGATTGGCAGCCAAACTTTCAGGGAACATTTCAGGGTCCTCCTTCCCTGTTTCGTTCTCATTTCATCCCCATTTCCGCGTGGGTTGCCGTCGTCTAATTCGAACCCAAGTCCACCTCGTCAAAGTAATCCTGCGAACCTTTCGACCTCGTCGCTTCCCCTTCAACCCTCTACTTCCGCTCCGCATCTCAGGATGCTTGCGACGAGATCGAATCTTTCCCGTTCTATTTAAGAAGTGCCCGATCGATCTCTGCTGGAACTTTGTTAATCGAAACTACACCGAAAGGGACATTTTCAGGGAACGTATAGCGTTAGTCGTAAGTGGACGATGTTAGCAACAGGTGGTCAGCGACAAGTAGACGACATTAGCAACAAATAGTCAGCGTCAGCGACGAGTGGCGCGACGAGAATTCGGTCGGATGCAACAAGTAGTTTTAAAGCGCGTAGCAACGAACGGCCGTGTGAATTGTACGCCTTCGAGAACCGAAAAAGCGTTCGCGGAATTTAGAGAAGAATTCGCGAGTGGGTAGTCGAGACGATGACTCGTATCGATATTTTTTTTATTATTACTATTATTGACGACACGACTGTCTAACGGATAACGGTTTTGCGTATTGATTTATTTCGCGAGGTATATCGAGGTGAACTCGCAGAAATGATGAATCTTTGAACGGATATATGAGTGATTGTTTGAGGTACCTGACTCCGACGTTCCTCGTCGTCCCAGGTGTAACCTTGCGATTCATATTGACCAAAAATTACCCAACTGATCCGCGACTTCACCTTCGCTAACGTAATAATATAATAATACAGTTTGTAATTGATACAATAATGTAGTAGGAATTTTTGTTCTATTTTTCTTAGAAGCGAAACAATTAATTCGATATTAATAGTTGTTTAATACTCGCAATGGTTTAATAGCGTTCCGTGAAAACGCATTATCCATTCTTTATGTGTAAAATACGCCACTCGCTTCCACGTTAATGGAATTGCAAATAAGATCTATCCTGTTAGCTTTTGCATTAACGCTCGGGAAGTTTCTTCCCGTTCGGTTGACCACGCGAAAGGATACAGCCGTTTTATCCCGATAAGAGGCTTCCGAATCGCGCTCACCTCGTAACGGTCGCATAAAGACGGTAATTTGTTTCTTGTGAAAACCACTCGTAGCTGCGTTTATTTGTCTTTCTTCCTTCATCCGGGATGTATCGATTCCTGTGTGCACAAATGGACGCCGTCCGATAAAAATGACCCTCCTGTGCTGTCTGGTATAACAATTGTTACGATTTAACTACAGATTCATCGTTTGATATTATTACATTGTCCTGTTTTCTTAAAAAATTCCCAAATAGACGCCACGATAATCTTGCCCATGGGGCCAGTATTGTTAAAACCGGCACTGGACGACATGGAACAACTTAATTCAACGTAATTGTGTTTTCAGGGCGATACGTGGGCTCCCGTCCTATAAAGCTGCGCAAGAGCTCCTGGAAGCAAAGGAATCTGGAGACGGTGAGGAAGAAAGAAAAGGAGAAACAGGCTCTAATTGGTTTGTTGACCGGCCGGTGACGTGACTTCGTTCCTTCCCTCATCCACGTTCCATGGATCGTACACCTGCGTTTGTTAATTTGATTGAAACAGTAGCCAGGAAGCTTTTTTTTTTCATTACACTAAGGAATAGTCTAGGAGAAAAAGAATCATAATTGTAAGTGGACCGTGGATGTTTATGCACTTATGGCAAGCGAAGAAATGTATAAAATATCAAGAATGAAATACGTGTTACACAGTTTAGAAGATTAGATAGATTTGCGTAAACATCCACGATCTGATCATGTTGAATGAATTAAAAATTTCGGTATTTAAGAAACGAACTTTCCACCAGCAACGACTCAAAATTGTACATTTCCCCACTTTATAACTAGTCCCTGGGTCGATGCGTAAATTGTACGAAAGTAAAATTTGTCTATTCGATGTAATCGAGTTGTTACTGCATACCACTTATCTACACGACGAGTATCTATAGTATCTAATTATCTATAGTATCGATTATGCGATATTCATTTTATTCCAACGTAAAATGGAGTAAAGCGTGCCGGTGTCCGGAATAAAAATGTATCCAGCGACCTTAGGCGAACGCGGCGAAGAAGAAGCGAATCCCCTCGGGGTTTGTATTTCTCTTTCATGTTAAGAAACAATCATCGCGACTATCCGAGTTCGAGGTCGTCCCGCGAAAGGGAAAAATTTAACGGCGTGCTTTAATTATGAAAGTGAGATTTAATCCTACTGTGAAAGCGTCGAAGCTTGCGACTTTGAGAACGTGGAAATATATTTGCAACGGCTAGTCGAATACATTTTTCAGGTCACCTGGCTTCTGAAGCGCAAAAAGAGAATGTGAAAAAGGATAATTAAACATTGTTTGTTCGCTTCTTGCATAAACGTGTAATTTCTAGTTACGGTACTTAGAACTAGGCCAAGTCGCGATAGAATTTTCAAATCTTATTGTAAAAAATGTAATTAGTTAATTTAGATACGTATAGATGTACCAGTGTATTCTTTGGGTAAAAATGATAAATTAATTGCAGGTTTACGAAGGCGAAAGGAACGACAGGGGCGAGAGACACGGATATGGAAAAGCTTTGCTTCCAAATGGCGACGTGTACGTCGGTCGGTATTGCAAGGGGTTGAGGCACGGCAAAGGGCTTTACGTGTTCAAAATCGGTGCTCGATACGACGGCGAATGGAGACAGAGCTTCAAGTATGGCCAAGGAACCTTTTGGTATCCCGATGGAACGCGATACGAGGGTACGAAATCATGGCACACAAAAATAAAGGATAAACGAGTGGATTTTTTTACAGGAGAGTGGAGACGCGACACGAAATATGGTTTCGGCGTGTACTATTACGCGAATGGTGACATCTACGAAGGTTCGTGGAAGAAGAATTTTCGACACGGCATGGGCTCTTATCTCTACGCCGATACGAACACCAAATTCATGGGTACATGGATCGTGGATCGTATGCAAGGACCCGGCCAATTGATCCATCCTCGACATCGCTTTCACGGATTCTGGGAATTAAATTTAGTAATTAATATTGCCACGGGAAACTAACTAACGAACTAACTTCGCTTCGGATAAATATACCGTGCGAGTAAGACAGTTATTTACAGCCTTATGGTCGCGGATGCTTCACTTTTGAAAATGCTTGCATGCAACACGGTCACTACGTTCATGTCAATGATCCGGAAGTCGTCGAGACGACACAGGTGGAAACTATCGATGTGAGAATTATGTTCTAATAGCAATCTGTTCTTAGTAATTAATCTAATTCCCGATTGTATATATATATATATATATATATAAACGAAAAGATTTCATTTTGAATGTAGGAGAGGCCAACGGAGGAGAAAAGTGAAGCACAACCACTGAAACCGTCACCTTTGAAGAAAGGAGTTATTCCGTTATGGCGCGCGCGTTGCATTACGCCGTATAATCCTGATCTGTTACCACCAGAGCCGGTTCCTTTACAGGAAGAGGTAATGATACGTACAACGAATGAACGGCACTCGATTTTTATCAAAGTCTGTCTAATCCGATGTCAGTAATTCTTTTTTCATAGTTGAAGATTTATATATCTAACTATTATTATCATCTTGTAAAATGTATACTAAAACGTGCGATTGTTATCGACAATCCACCGAAAACAGGAAGTACTTGACGTCGGTTAGCGTCTGAAATAAATATCGGAAAGCTATCCGGCGATATCCGGTTTCCCTGTTGAACGGATTCGAATGTCCAGAACGTTAAGGAAAATGGAAGTAGACGAGACGAGCGGTCTAAATTGATTGCTTGCGGTTTAACGAGCACTTCCGGTAGCTTCCATTTCCATCTGACAGAGTCGAAACTCTGTATTCAATAATAAAATTACAATATCCGTATCCGAATCTCTTTTCAATTTTGTAGAAAACGTCCTTTGAAATCCTGTTCTATTAATTATACGTTACAGTTATAATAATCAATTATCGAATCTCTTTATTATTCTCTGTTTTCAGGTGTCACTGGACTCCATAGTAGATAAATGTTCAGAAGAGTTGTCGGAAAGGGAACAATACTTGAAATATCCAGGGGAGTATCGCGGAGAAGAAGAGGAGTATTACGAAGAGATCGATCATGTTAGACCATCCATTGAAACAATTCAAGAGAAATAAAGCAGTATAAAATAATAAACTCTTTTCGTGTCCTATTGATCTTTCGTTAACCTTCTACTAACTTCACCAAGTGTACAATGTAGAAAGGGTCGATGGAAACAACTAATAACAACTTAAATAAATCCAATAGGTCCCAAATTAGGGAAATTAGAAATGCGAAGAAGCATCAAAGTTGCTATTCGACATTCATTCGTTCATTTATTTAAAGTGCGTAACTTGTTATACAAAGTTATTGCACTACTGCTTATTTAGTACTAGCTTATTTCCATTCTTTTTATCATGGTCTTATACGACTCCTGTATTGTTTTAATACTGTTAGAGAACTCATGTTGGGAGTCAGGAGATGTTAGGAGACTTGTAGATGGTTAGAGAAATAATCCGTAGCCTTTAAAAGTTACTTAAACGATCCTTATATTTCTATCCTGTTATTTGGAAAAATACAATTTTACATATTTACAGCGATAGAGTTAAGGTCAGATTTTTGTATGCGATCGCACAGTATATAATTTATAGGCATTTTTACAATTATACTGAGCTCATACATATACTTTTCAAAGATACAACATTGCTTGTATTTTTTCCAACAAAGAAAATCCTTATTTATACAATATACATAATCGATGTACAGCCTAAATACCGATCTAATTTATACCAGTAATGGATACTTTCTTTTCGTTTTAAACAATCACTTTATTGCGAATGTGTTCATAATAGATCATGATAACATGAATTGTTATAAATGACAGAATACTGTTTTTTTTTTTTCTTTTCTTTTCTTTACAAGATGTTGGATCATCATAAATATTTTTATACAATTGAACACAAAGTGCCTTGTTTGTTTATGCATGATTATTTTAACACGGACACAAATGGAGTATTCAAAATTTATAAAACTTATGCATATGTTCTCGTGAAATAATAATACTGCAATTTGTAAACCTAAGATTTATTTGTGTTTTTCTGTTTTCAACCGACAAGTTGATAGATGTTCTAAGAACACGGTTAAAAGTTTCTTTACAGGGATTGAACTAACGTGATTTTGGGAAATTATTTAAATTGCAAGTTACCAGGCAAATGCTACGGAGTCAAAACTCTTTTCAAATATAAAATTCACAACGAATTTGAGTAACGACAGAATCTTGGATGCCCGCGAACGTTAATTATCCAAATAGTATTTACAATACGTACAATCGTAATGGGTTTTTTTATTCATTCTTTTCCATAAAAGTTTGTAATCCTTTTGCAGTCTAGCACTTACTTACTTCCATCAAAGTGCTCAGTCGTGAAAGATATACTAAGCGATACAAATTGAATTCTTTGAAACTTAAATTGTTATCAGAGACCAAATCCAACAGAGACGTTGGCTTATTCGAAACGCTTCTCCTCCTTTTCTTTATTACGAAATGTATATCGTAACTAAACCTGATTTTATACAACAGATTCATCGACATGAAAAATACAACAATAAAAATGAATCTCGAGGTGTTGTAAATCGGTGTAAAATATTTTATTGAAAAGAATGAATTACAGAATCGAGGTACATTATAGAGTTTGAAAGTTTCAGTTAAATCATCTATTGTACCTAAAGCAAATGTGTAAAGAAATTCATGAATTATACAATTCAGAGTTTAAAAATGTGACCAACGAGAAAATTGATTACGTTGATAGTGTAATTCATTTTTTTTTTTTTTCAATATCGAATTCTTCACAGATTTATTACACCCTGAAAAATACTCGTTCTTACGATTAACTCTGTATAATCGAGTCAGTTTCTTAACGTGTTATCATCAGATCAAACATGCTGCTCACAAACACCCATACATACCCATTGAGACAAAGACGATAAGGCACAGAATACACATTATTATTTACGAGCAATCATTACACGCAGTTGCACAGCCCCGACAAATTAAAAGTGAAGGCAAGAGGATTAAAGGAACTTATGCTGTGAAAGAATTCAGTTTCGAGACAAAAACGCTATCCACATAAACACTATTCAGTATTTCCGTACATGAAAATATTGTCGCTTGCATGTTTCATTTCCACATTGTATAGACATTTTAATAATCTATCTACACGTTATAATTGTAGCTTATCGATTAATCGTGTCTCATTGTTTTTACTTAAGGTACGTTAAGGATGCCAACGGAAAACAAAGAACGCTCTCCTCTCGAGGGTAAAGAACTAAATGTTCTTTTAATATTTTCATATATGGATTACGACAAATAATGTTTCGTACTTCTACAATTATAAATTACTTTTTGTTCTGTCATCGTCGTACGATAAACGAAATCTTCTTTAAAGTTTCGTTACGGTGATACAATTTCTCTCGAATGGAGACAGTCTATCAACATTTCAAGTCTACGAACATCGAACGAAATGTGAATAGCAAAAATGAAATTTTCTCCACCGTAATTGTGACATACTTATATATAATAAACAATTGTTATGTACCGGCGTAAAACGTCCAAGTGTTTTACAGCTAGTAAAGCATAATTACAGAAGTAGTAATTAGTTTGTGCCCTAGGGTTTATCACAACAAAATTGAGTCACCATTTTGCTTTCGCCAAAATACACTCAACGATAGTTCGCTATATAGTTCTCCAAGTCTTATTATCGTGATAGTATGTACACCTGTGGGGCCGTTTAACGTTTCTCGGGCTGGCGATAAAAAAAATATTGTGAATATACGTATATATGTATGTATATGATATATTAATTTATAAATGTGTGCATCGTACACGCACCGTTTCGAGTATTCGTAACCAAACAAATCGTTTAATTCTTTGGAAAAATTCAAATCTGGCACATACCGTAAGGAAAAATTTAGATATCTGACTCTGACGATTTTTGTTGACTTGTAAGAGTTCTCTCGACACATTCATCACGTTGTCTCGTTCGTTTACTGTCGTGTTCTGTTTGACGCTTTCACTATTTCAATATTACATTCCATACAACTTTTCCAAGGTAGAAGCGATTCACTTTTTGAAAATATGGACAAATCATACCGAAGAGAAATATGATATTTCACGGTAGAAAATACAAAGGTCTGTTAATCATCGTCGAACATCTCAGGACAGTACGCTTATTATTTTAGAACGTCGAAACTCACATTTAGTCCCTAATTAATCCGTGTAAAATAGTAACAGTTACGTAATGCTTATAATTATGCTTACGGATGTACAGCTATGTACGCGTTCATACATAGTTTAAGATCCGAGGAGAGATCTCGAGTCGATCGTATGATACGAGAAATTGTCATTGTATAATAAATCTCTCACGTATGAGTTTTAGCTCGTCGACATTTAAACGCGTTTAACCCATATTTCTTTTCTACCAATTGTCAAGAAAAAGTATTCGTACATAACACGTACAAGAATACGAAATACTTCATGTTGTAAACATTTCGCGGGAAACGATACAAAATATAATTACACACGTTCTCAGTCAGAGATGGAGAAAATTTCATTCGAATACCTTTATTCGTTATTCGAAATTTTCACGTAGATAAGAATTTTACCCATCTCTGTTCTCGATTAGATTCATTGCAAGACTTCCGTTTTCTCACGCAAATGCGTAGAAAAGAACTTTCTATCTCCGATCACTATCACTTGGAAGCACCAATTCTCTTCGACAGGAATAAAAATTAAGAGCGTAAAGAAACGCGTGAATCTTAACAAGTTATATTAATTAAAGGATCATTTAAACAACTAATGACTCGATATTTATTAATTGAATGTTTTTAGGATATACTGCCCTAGTAAATTGTTATCAAACGTTCCTCAGTCTTGGAGAGTAAAATGTTTCTTGATTCGTAAAGTCTCTGTTTGATTTCTTCCAATGCGTTTGTCGAAGAACATAAGCGAAGAAAAAAGAACGAATTTTTAAGTACTCGGGGTAAATCGAAGAAAATTTTCGCGTGTAACAATGTTGCGATGCAATGTTCGTGTCTTGCAAGAAACTTTACGTCCACGCCACTCTACGCACATTATTTTTCAGTACTTATGCGTGCATTTGGTTTCACATTGTTTCAACTAGAATGCATAAGATCGTGGATTCGTAAATGCGTTAGATTAAAACAAAGTCAGCTACGCGTGAATCATGCTTTTTCTAACTTGAACAAAAAAAAAAAAAAAAGAGATATACACAGCGGTGAGGTAAATAATAAATGGTATTCTGCTCTCGGCACTAGTTATGCGTCGGGGAATCATAAATACATTCCTATAAAAGTAAAGGAACCAAAATCGTTTAACCGAAGCGTAGAATCTGTTTACTGCTCGAACCAATTAGAAAAATGTATACCGAAACGAGATAGCCAATATCCTCGTTACTCGTGTCGTATAAATGAAACGTTCGATAAAAAATATCCGTAGAACGTACAGTATTTTCATTCCGGGTGTTTGGTTTATTTAATCGTAACTACTTTGAGCAGCTTTTACCATTTTGGCATACTTTTGCACGCGTACTTGCGCGCGGTAATGCAACGTTCCGTCCCTTTCTCCTGTTCACAAAAATGTGCAACAGCGGGGGGAAAACGTGGAATGAGATAAAATGCACACGGATGAAAACTACAAAAATCTTGTAGACGTACAGACAGAGATGAACATATTCGAACGGATCGTGCGACTGGAATACACATAAAACAACGAACGTACAACGAACGGTCTGATCGAATTCCGTGTTGCTCGAACAACAGACATCTACTTGTATCTTATATTCGCTGATGCTGTTAAATAGTAGACACTCGTATCAGCGAATACAAATTAGTACGATTCGAATAGATTGCCGTATACAGTTTTCATCGGTTATCCGTTAGACCCATCTCTGCCTATGTACGGGTATATACGAGGCACCACTTTAAACGATAATATGTACAACCATACTCCCTAACGCGTCTCGGGTGAAAAATATGTATAAGGTTCTTTCTTTCATTGTGACCAACAATCACACCTGCACACCAAGTTCCAACGCACTTAGTTCCAACGCTATTTCATCCTCCAGGAATGAGAAACAACGATGCCGATGCGTAAGTCGTCGCCAGGAAAAGGGGCGAGACTGTCTACCTACACTCTTCAGGATTCTCTGGACAGTTTGACTGAAGGGCGTTATCCGAAGCATATCTGAAGTCACTCGCCTGTTAGAGGCTTCGAATAAAACGTTAAAGAAACGAAACTTTGTTGCGTTGCAAGTCCACTGATCTTTCGTCTGAACGTCGAGGACGATCTCAGATGCTGCCATTTCGCAGAAGGACACCTGTGGAGCACGCGTCGCGCTCTGTTCTCCACGGGCTACACGGCACAACCCTTCCTAGTTCCGTAAAGGATCTTCAATTCCGGTATGATTATCTTCTTGATCAGCGCGTTCGTCTTCGCGGTGAGCATCTCCCGGTGAGCATCCTTCTTGAAGATCTTGATGCCCGGACGATGGACTAGGAACGCGTTGTCCAGGATCAGGAAGTCGTAGTCGAGAACGCACAGCGCGTAACCCTGAAACGGAAAAGTTTCAATACAACGTCCATCGAGGAGACCTTGAGGGATTAGCGGTGGATCCTCTTAGCATTGGATGTTTCATTCGTACCTGGGTCATTTTGTCGCTCTTCCCTTCCCAGCTGAGCCTCTCGTCGTACAATGGGTCGTTATTGGTCCCAATGAAAATGGGCTCCCAGTGAACAAAGGTCCCGGTCCTTTTGCCGACGTGGAACACGTGGAGATCTTCGGTCTCCGGCGCCTCCTGCCATTCTTTGCTTCGTGGAACGTTGTGGCAACCGGAACACAATTTTTTGTGGAAAGGAATGGCGGTGCCAGCCTTCAGCATTTGAACCTGAGAAACGCATAGGCTCGGTTACTTATATATCTCGTTTAATAGAATGAAATTGATAGCGAATAACTACAGAAAAATTGTATACAACGCGACGTGCAATGCGACTAAAGGTATGTACTGGAAATACATGAGGAAAATCGAGTCCACGTTAAACAGTAAAACGAAGGTACGCTATTCGCCGATTGAACGTGGTATTTTATAGAACCGCGGTCAGTGGCGAGACCGCGCTTCCTGGCAACGGCACACTAATTGTACGCATCAAGGTCCACGGTCAAAGGAAGCGGCATTGATTAAACGACCCTCGCGTCGGTGTCGTCTAACGTATCGTCGGATATTGTGCCAGATAGTAATAACCAACGAGTACAATGAATGAACCCGCGGTCTTACCAAGTGCGTTTTGTTATTCGGTGGTTGATTCTTTTCGTCCACCTCGAAGATGGAGAGTACAAAAACTTTCGGATTAGGCTTGTAAAGGGCCGGTTGATCCTTTCTGGTGATCATCTCGAGGAACTTTGCAGGCAAATTGGGATTCGGATAGAGCTCGATGTCGCTGGCGAATACGTAGAACGTCGGTGCGGACTCTCTGGCGATGTTACGGCCAACGTTCACGGGGTACAGCAGCTTCTTCTCGTTTTTGTACATCTTCGAAAGCGTGACGTTAACCCACGGTGGCCCCAGCGTGCAGTTGTACGTATCGGACGCAACTTTCTCGGATGGCGGTACCTGTATGCAACAAATTGAGCAAACCGTCAATTCTCGCAGACACTTGAGGAAAATTGTCGATGCTAAGGGTGAACGGTAAGTAAACAGTCTAACTGTAGCACGCCTAGCAAGACCGTACGATTACGCGATGCAAGAAATTACCAACGCAATTGCATTTGCTAATCCACACACGCCAATTTCACGCCGTAATTATACTGCACGTAGACGGTGCATCATTCTCAGGTACGCTCCTCGTTTAAAAAGTGAAATTACGTATGTGGAGCAGAACTGAATAAGCGGATACACCGTGTCGGTTGCTAACTGGTTCTTGTATCCGATTAATAATACTTTCTCAACCTCTTTCGTTATCGTCGACTTTTAAAAACACCCTTGTCAATGGATGCTGAATCGTGCTTCGAGTACTTGATACTTTCTTCTAGATTCACGTCAGCCAAGCGGACTGCTCAAGGACTAAAATTGCCTATTCCGTTTCTCTTTTTATCGCGTTTCTTACGCCGAAGGCTTTTGCATCAAGAAACGGGAATTTCAGTCTATCAGTGCAGGATTACTCAACGCGATAACATTTTACAAAACCAATGTCAACTTGGGACTTATGTCGTCTCGTGTGTGTTCAGTCATTCAGACGCAATCATAAGTATATTTAAACGGCCAATATTTATGAAGATAGATTAAACTTTCTGGAAAGCGTGTCGTTATCTGTGTAGGTATCTACTTATATACATACATACATACATACATGCATACATACATACATACATACATACATACATTTTAGCGTTTTACACTTCTATCATGTATTATTACGAATTTGGTTAGATACGACTACTCGTATCTTCATTTATTTACCGTAATTTAATCAACGAGTGACAGACGTACAGTCGTCTACCCCTTATACATACATTAGCCAGACGACAAATTTATTCTTTGAATGAATTAAACTTCAGGAATGTGAGTATCGCTTATGCAGCATTACACATTGAGAGTTTCAAGTAGCCACCGGTTGCCCCATCGTGGAACGCAATTATTTGTACAGGTGATATTTGCACAGAGTAAGAGCGCACGAGTTTCTACTCTGCTGACCAAGGAATTCCAATTCTTGAACCCTTTACTTGCTGAATTTCTCAAAAGTTTCTTTTAAATC